AAAAAAAAAAAAAAAAAAAAGATAAGTTAATTGGAAGTGAAAAGAAGAAAAAAATATTCCAGGTAGAGAGACCAGCATGTGCAAAGGACCTGCAGAAAAGGGAGCCTGGTGAGTACCGAAAATGGAAATGGTCCAACTTAGCTCAAAGGAATAGAATGTAGAACAGTGGTTCTCAACCTTCCTAATGCCGTGACCCTTTAATACAATTCCTCATGTTATGGTGACCCCCCCAATCATAAAATTATTTTCGTTGCTACTTCATAACTGTAATTTTGCTATTATTATGAATCGTAATGTGTTTTCCGACCCTAACGCACCTAATGTGTTTCTTAGGCAACCCTTTCTCGAACCCCAAAGGGGTTGCAACCCACAGGGTGAGAACCACTGATGTAGAAGAAGAATGGCACAAATGAAACTGGAGAGGTGGGAAACAGCCAGATGATAAGGCATCTGGTGGCTACTAAAAGGTTTTGTTTTCTTAGAGACAGACTCTTGCTCTGTCACCCAGGCTAAAGTACAGTGGTACTCATAGCTCACAGTAGCCTCAAAATCTATCTCAAGTGATCCTCCCAAGTAGTTTAGACTAGATATGGGTATCACAGCACCCATCTAATTTTTAAAACATTTTTTAGATACAGGGAAGTGGTTTTCATGGTATTACCTAGGTTGGTCTCCAACTCTTGGCCTCAAGTGAGCCTCCTACCTCACCCTCTCAAGTAACTGGGATTATAGGTTTGAGCCACAGCACCCAGCATACTAAAGGGTTTTAAATAGGAAGATGAGACATATATACATTCTGAAATCGCTCTGGCTGTGTGTATTTTGGAAAGGGAATGGATAAATGGGAGGCTGAAGTAATTACTATAAAGAAGAGATAGTGATAGTCTGGGCTGCAGTGATGGTAAGAGGTAGGGAGAATTAACAGATATTTATAAGGTAAAAGTTACAAAGACTTAGTTAAGGCTTAACTATGGGAAGTGAAAGAGAGAGAAATGCCGAAGATAACCTCTAGGTTTCTGCCCTGCCGACTGGATGCACAGTGGAACCATTCATTAAGACAGGAACCACTGATAGTATCTGTGTCCTGGGGAGGGATTATTAGATAGATTTTGAACCTAATTTCAAAAAGTTTAGGGCCTCTGAAGCTTTTTTTTTTTTTTTTTTTGGATACAGAGTCTCACTATGTTGCCCTCCACAGTATCTTAAAGGAGATGTGAAACAGACAAGAGATGGCAAGAACAGAAGCTCAGAGGAAAGATCTGGGTTGAAGAAGGCCTTCAGTTTCCTCATGTATAAAATTTGAGTAATTACATCAATTGAAATAAGGATTAAATGAACAAATAATTGCAATATACTTTGCACAGCTTCTGGCTTCTAGTAAATACCCCCAAAATGGTACTTTTATTAGTGATACTATACTGGCTATTGGCTAATATATTAGTTAGCCACCTTGACTAAATATGACCAAAAAAATATATTACTATTTCCAATATCGAATTGAAATCACTTTTCCTTTTCAAGACCCTACTCCATTTTCAGTAATAATGCCTGTTACTCAACAGATTCAGTTCCATTTAAGTATTTATGTACCTGAGTTGTGGTACTATGTAACAAACCAGGTAAGAAAATCCCTGGTTTCAACAAAGCTGAAGTCTACCTAAACAAGACACTTCACAAACACATACGTATACCTATACACAAACATACACACACCAATATTCCAGAGATGTCACAGAGTAAATGAGTAAATTATATAGTTCCAGAGTGTGGCTGAAATTTGAACCCTGGTATAAATCCCAAAGCCCTACAAAGAATCACAGTAAGTTCTCAGTAAATGTTTGTTAATGAAGCAAATATTCCTAATGACAATAATACGAAAGCCATTTTAAACACTTCTCATTTCAACAGAATGACCACAGTAACCAAAACAATAGCTCCAGTGTTTATGACTTCTAAGAGGTGACAAGACATCTTTATGATAAAGATAGCAAAGAGAAGGGCTCGGCACCCATAGCTCAGGGAGTAGGGCGCCAGCCACATACACTGAGGCTGGCGGGTTGGAACCTGGCCTGGCCAGGCCATGCCAAACAACAATGACATCTGCAACCAAAAAATAGCTGGGCATTGTGGCGGGCACCTGTAGTCCCAGCTACTCAGGAGGCTGAGGCAAGAGGATCACTTAAGCTCAAGAGGTTGAGGTTGCTATGAGCTGTGACGCCACGGCACTCTACCGAGGGCGACATAGCAAAACTCTGTCTCAAAAATAAAAACCCATGGATAGTCTACAGCTGTGCCCTGTTCAATATGGTAGCCACTAGCTGCATGTGACTAGTTACATTTAAAATGATTAAACTTTAATGAAATGATAGATTCAGTTGCTTAGTCACTATAGCCACATTTGAAGTGTTCCATAGTTGTATAAACTAGTGACTACTCTATTGGACATCACAAAAGAGAACATTTCCATCACTAAGAAAGTTTGTTCAGGACGTAATGCTGGTCTAGATCAAATTTAAAACAAAAATACACTTTTCATACAACTTTTCACCATCTTAGCAACTTAATCTTTTGAATCTCATGAAGAAAACAGAATTGACAGTATCTTTATCTCTCACTCTTTCTTTGTTTTTTTTTTTTTTTTTGAGACAGAGTCTCACCTTGTCACCCTTGGTAGAGTGCTGTAGCATTATAGCTCACAGCAACCCCAAACTCCTGGTCTTAAACAATTCTCTTGCATCAGACTCTCAAGTAGCTGGGACTACAGACACCCGCCACAATGCCGCTATTTTCAGAGACGCGGTCTCGCTCTGGCTCAGGCTGGTCTCCAACCTGTGAGCTCAGGCAACCCACTCGCCTCTGCCTCCCAAGTGCTGGGATTACAGGCATGAACCACCGTGCCCAGCTTTATCTCTCATTTTTAAAGTCTATATATTGCTTTCTGCACACATTTAACAGTGATTGAGCCTTTTGCTTTTGTTAAACTCTCACAAATGATATGTATACATAAACTGAACTGTAAATGTGGATTCAGAATATTTTTTGTAAAGAAGATAAAATATTTGCCTTTTTGTGTAATTTAAAAACTACTCTAAATTACAAAATTAAGTTCCACTGTCCTTAAACTACTGAATTGGTGCTTCTCCTTACTCAGCACAACTGCGCATACACGTCTTGGGACATCAGGGTGAATAAACACGGTGGGGAGAGGCGGTGCACAGGGGCAGGTGTCAGACGGAGTACTGGACGTGCGCTGTGTCGGTCACACCCGTGCACTAAGTACCCCAATGGTCCTTAACACACAGACACACAGAACAAAGTCGGTGCGACTGGGGCTACCTGAACCCTGTGTATCCAGTCTGGATGACCTCTGGAAAGGTCCACTGCCACCTGTGGTGCCAGGGGAAGGAGGCAGCCCTCTGACACGGAAACACTTCCAGGAGTGGACACACCGGGATGGGGGGGGGGGTGAAGACAGTGAAGATCACGAGCGCCTGGAGAGACAGGAGCTGTGACAGGACACGATCAGAGGAGGGGGCAAGAAGAAGGGGCTCTGACCACCCGCGAGCCCACCCCCAGCCCTCCCGGCCCCGGGACAGGCAAGTTACATAACCCGGCGGGCGTCTCGGGTGCCGGCGGCGAGCGCAGCCCCCGCGGTCGGGGCCGCCCTTCCCTCACTCGGCCGGGGCCGGAGTTGGCCCGGGGCAGCAGCCGCAGCCTGCGCCCTGCCCAGGCTGGACTCCCGGGCTTTCGGTTTCCGGCCCTGGCGCTCACACCACCCCAGAAACCAACACACAGACACCATAACAAAGGCGGCGACGCGGCGGCAACACCGGAGTGGAAGGACTAGGGGACCACGGTGGGGCTGGCAGTCAGCCCGCCCGCCCGGCAGAAGCCACGGCCACCGGTCCCGGCCTGTGCGGCGGCAGGGCAGGTGGCGGGCGGGAAGAGGAGGGGTGCTTTGAGGTACTACTCACTCTCGTCAGGCAACTGGTCGAGCTCCGCCATCTTGAACGAGCCGCGCCGCTTTTTCAAAGGCTGCTCTCCGCGGTGCATTGTGGGGCGGAGACTGTCTTTGCGAGGGAGGTTCGAATGCGGAGCTCGCCGCCCGCGGCGCCGCGCTGGGCTGCTCGCGTCGCGCCGGGCCCAGGCGGGCCGGCTCCGCCCGCGCCTGCCCGGGGAGGAGCTGCACCGGGCCGGGCGGGAAGGAGGGAGGCCGCGCGGAGAGGTGGGGCGCCGAGCGCTGGGGGAGCTGCGCGGCTCCCGAGTCCCGTCCGGGCCCCGCTCCCGGCGCGCGTTTCGCGGCTCGCGCTGCAGCTGCGGGAACTGCAGGCTGTTTGTTCCGAGTGGGGAACGGGAGGGAGGCCCCGGCAGGGGGAAAGAAGGCTTCACTTCTCGGTGGTGTTACCGGAGGGGGCTCTACGCCAAGTAAAACATCCGTGGTTCCCCAAACCCACGTTTCTCGGGCGCCTCCATCCCCTCTTCTCTTTAGATCTCAGGCTGTGGCTGCCCCACTGCGCGTGGGTCCAGGACTCGGAGTCTCTACGACCCCCGGTAGCCGGGGACATCTCCCAGTGTTGAAACCTGAGCTGCGTGAAGCCGAAAAGCAAGACCTTGAGAGGTCACGAAGTTAGTCATTGAGGCCGACAGCTGAAGAACTGTTCTGCTCGGCTCTTTTCATCCATTCGACACTAAACTGTGTAGTTATTACAACAGGAATAACAGGAGGCTTCTTCACATACAGACTGTGACCCTACAAGGTGATAAAGTATTCTGATCCAAATGTCAGGAGAACACTGGATGAGAATTCACTGTTTTGAAAGAAGCCCAGGGAAAGATTGCACAATTCCTGCCTCTATCATTTTAACAAAAACACTGTTGCTTTTCAGCAATTCCTTTAACAAATGTTATTGAGCGCCAGTGCTTTTCTCCAGGAATTTATGGGTGGGGAGGGGAGAATGGAACAGTTAAGCAATGAAAAAGACAACCTGGGTGAATTCCAGGAAAACTACAGTTAGAAAGGGTAGACTGAGATGACAGCCGTATGTAAAACTGTACACAGCCCACGCTAAAGGGTCAGACTTGTTTACAGCATTGGGGAGCCCACGCTAAAGGGTCAGACTTGTTTACAGCATTGGAGAAGTCAGGTTTTAGATGAAAGGGGTGGCATGTTTCCATTTGTGTTTTAGAATAAAAATGTGGAAAATGGATTGGTGGGTGACAAGATGAGCGCCTGGAAACCAGCCAGGAGAAAGCTTGCTGGGGCAGGTAAAGACAGTCAAGAGATGCCAGTGCTTCGGCTGTAGGGGTTCAGAGGGTGAGCTTTGAAGCCCTGCGGCCTGGGTGGGATTCTGGCAGCTTGTTGTGTATCTCAGGCAAGTTTGTTTCTTAATTCTTTGTGCCTCAGTTTCTCATGTGTAAATTGCAGATAATAACAGGGTTGTTCTGAGGATTACCTGAGTTGATAGACAAAAGGATTTAATAATAGCTCCCGGCAGGCAGCAGTTAGCTACTACCACCACTAAGGCACAGGCAGTATCAAAGGGGCAGGATGCATTCCACCTGTCCAGAGGTGTGGAGAAAGACGGGACTGGAGGAGTCACTGGGTGTGAGGAAGGAGGATCAGTGATGACCCCAGCTCGGCACCTTGAGTAATGGGGTGCTGTCATCCTGAGATAGAAGGGGGAGTGGGGGCTTGGCTCTCCAGAGCAGTGGCTACAGCGCAGGCCACATACACCGAGACTGAATCTGGCCCTGGCCTGCTTAACGACGACTGCAACAACAAAAAAATAGTGGCATTGTGGTGGGCACCTGTAGTCCCAGCTACTTGGGAGGCTGAGGCTAGAAAATCGCTTAAGCCCAAGAGTTATAGGTTGCTGTGAGCTGTGAGGATGACAAAGTGAGACTCTCTCAAAAAAAAAGAAAAGAAAAAGAAAGGGCGGCGCCTGTGGCTCTAAGGTAAGGAGCCAGTCCCATATGCTGGAGGTGGCGGGTTCAAACCCAGCCCCGGCCAAAAAAAAAAAAGAAGGGGGAGTGGAGAGTGACCAAGGAGGGGGAAAGTTCATTTTACAAAGTAATCCTTCCTTCAGCTCTCCTGTGCATTGGAAACATTCTGATCTGCCCTCTAAGATTAGGACACTGGCTCCTATTGTTAGCACCTGCAGGTAGAGGGGCTTCAGCAGCTTGCACCTCACCATCAATTTGGGAGTGAAATCAAGAAAAGTCCAACCCTTTGAGAATGAAAGAATAGAAATAAATAAAAATGAAAGTTAGTGGGGTGGGAAAAGTAAAACTTTTGTGAATGTCATGATGGTCAAGTTGTCATTAGACTAAGGCAAACCAGGTTTTATTTTGAGACAATTTTCATATACACACCAAAGCAGGGCTGCTGTTTAAATCAGTATTTTTAGGCTCTTCCCCTGATAATCTGTGTTTTAAACAAAAACCTGAAATGATTCTTTTTTTCTTTTTTTTGAGACAGAGCCTCAAGCTGTCCCCCTGGGTAGAGCACTATGGTATCACAGCTCACAGCAACCTCCAACTCTTGGGCTTAAGCTAGTCTCCTGCCTCAGCCTCCCAAGTAGCTGGGACCACAGGCACCCGCCACAACACCCGTCTATTTTTTGGTTGCAGCCATCATTGTTGTTTTGGTGGGCCTGGGCTGGATTCGAACCTACCACCTTAGGTGTATGTGGCTGGTGCCTTAGCCACTTGAGCCACAGGCGCCAAGCCTGAAATGATTCTTCTCATGGTCTGAAGCTTGAAGGTGTATCCCAGCCACTGGTCTACCACTTACTAGCTGTGTGACCTAATCTAACCATTTTATTTTTTTCAGTGAGGTTCTTTATTGGATATTTATGAGAAGTTTTACATACATTGGCTTACTGGATCCTCTTAACAACTTGGTTATTTGTCCAAGGACCATGGCAAGTAGGTGGTAGAATCAGGAATCTGGTCCACTCTCAGTGCCTCAGTTTCTCCCTCTGTGATGTGAGGAAAGCATATTTTTTTTAGTTTATATGTGATGCTATAACAAAATATCTTGGCCTAGGTAATTTATAGACAACAGAAATTTATTTCTCATGGTTCTGAAGGTTGGGAAATCCAAGGTGAAGGGTCCAGCACTGGGGAGTGGTGCCTTGTTGCTGCATCCTTTGTCATCATACAGCAAAAGGGGCAGAAGGGCGAGAGTGCGCCCTACAGCCTTGAGCCCTTTAATAAGGGTGCTCATCCCATTCACGAGAGAGAGCAGAGCCCTCATGACTTAATCACCTCCCAAAGGCCACACCTCTTAATACTGATATTGGGGATTAAGTTTCGACTGAATTTTGGAGAGGACATCATCTTTCAAAATATAGCAACACACAACATAGGGGTGTTAAATTTTCTCCATCATTTATTACAATTTAAAATAACATGATTGTTTAAGTGTTTTTGTTTGCTTTGTAAAAAAAAAGCCAAAATGTGGCTAAGGTAACTAAGCCATGAAAAACCTAGATAAAAATACACCCTGAGGAAAAAAAAAATGACTACATTTTAGGCATATCAGGTTTGATCATTTCTCATCCCATGGCCTATTTATCAATTTTTGAGTTATTTCTGTGTGAAGAGTTGGTTGCAATGACTATAGATAAAATGTGTGTATATGTGTATGTAGTGTGTGTATGTGAATGTTGTTACAAATATTTTTCATAAGGTCTTGAGGTCTTGAATTTGAGTTGGTAATGAAAAAATAAAGACTAGGCTTGGCGCCTGTGGCTCAAGTGGCTAAGGTGCCAGCCACATACACCTAAGGTGGCAGGTTCGAATCCAGCCCAGGCCCGCCAAACAACAATAACAACTGCAACCAAAAAATAGTCGGGTGTTGTGGCAGGTGCCTGTAGTCCCAGCTACTTGGGAGGCTGAGGCAGGAGACTCCCTTAAGCCCAGGAGTTGGAGGTTGTGATGCAACAGCACTCTACCCAGGGGGACAGCTTGAGGCTTTGTCTCAAAAAAAAGAGAAAAAATAAAGACTATATAGCTACTTTGCTTGATAATCTCAGCCATAATTAGGTAAAAAATGTTGTTACACAGGGTGGCGCCTGTGGCTCAAAGGAGTAGGGCGACCGGCCCCACATACCAGAGGTGGCAGGTTCAAACCCAGCCCCGGCCAAAACTGAAAAAAAAAAAAGGTTGTTATACATATGTGCATACATATATAAATGTTAAATTGCTGGTAGGACCCCAGGCGCAGCACTTCCATTCCTAGCATCCAGTATGCCAGGGGCAGGATCTGGGTTCAGGCTCAGCGCCTGTGCTCAGTGGTTAGGGAGCCAGCCACATACACCGAGGCAGGCAGGTTCAAACCCGGCCTTGGGTTGCTATACAACAATGACAACTGCAACAACAAAAACAAACAAACGAAAAAGGTCTGGGTTTAAATTGCAGTCCCCCTGCTTCCTTTGTGTGTAGCTTTGAACAAAATACTTAGTAGTAGTTTTTAGTTTTTTCTCTTCTTGATGGGCTATTTTGAAGATTAAGTGATATGATGTAAATTAAATTTCTACCAAGGTCTCCAGTGGGTGTCAGTGTTCTTCCTTTGCTAGAACTCCTTTTTGATAATAAATATTATCAATTATGATTTTATATAAAATGTTTTATATAATTATAAAGTTATATAACTGTAATACCTTTTTTGTTAATAAATATTATTAAAATATGCTTTGTGGGCCGGTCGTGGTGGCTCATGCCTGTTGTCCCAGTGCTGTGGGAGGCCAGGTAGGTGGACCACCTGAGCTCAGCTGAGTTCGAGAACAGCAGGAGACCAGCAGAAGACCAGCATGAGTGTAGTGAGCCAGAGTGAGACCCCATCTCTGCCGGAAAAACAAAACAAAACTGGATGTTGTGGCAGGCGCCTATAATCCCAGCTACTTGGTAGACAAAGGGCAAGAGAATCGCTAAAGAAAGAAAAAAACAAAAATTAAAAAAAAAAAAGACTTCAAATTAAGATAAGTGAAAGCCAGCTGAAATTGAAAGCAAAATATATATATATAATTTTTTTTTTGTGGATATCCTGG